TAAAGAGAGGATCATTTTATGCAATGAAGCTGAAAAGATTATTCCTGACTTTACTAATCTCACACCTGAAAATAAATTCATAAAAATAATGTCAAATAATAACTTAACAATTCCTCTGACACAATATCTGAAATACAGCTTTGTTATTAGACAGCAGCACCTACTTAGTCATTGACTTTTTTTTTGTTTTATACCTGTTATGTGTTCATTGGGTTCTCGTTTTTATATTCAGTTTATAGTTTTTTGTTGGTGCTTCATTTTACTTTATTATATATTTCTGTTACTAACTTCAATTTAGTCTGTTTTGGTTGTCTTTAAACTATTAGCCATTGTAATTTGATTAATTGTTATCTGTAATTTGTTGTTGTTGTTGTTGTTGTAACCTTTAACTTCCTTCAGTAGGTTGAGTTAATAAATTGTTGTTGATTCCATGTAATTGGTGAATTGATATGTGTTGAATATTAAATCTATATGTTGACGTGGAACATTATATACTAACATGCGTACGTTATTAATGAGCCATTTGTAGTTTTATGGTGTATCGAGGCTCAGTTCATACTTCATACTGATTATGCTTGAACTCCTCACATAGACCCACAGAACACATCACTTTATGAAAGCTTGGGGACGTATCAAAATCATTGGGGAAACACTTTTATCTATATATTGCTAAATGCTCATCTCGTTTTACCAATTTTTCTACTTGCTCCATAGTTCAGAATCAAAATTTTTGAAAATTCATTTTAAACGGCTAGTACATCCTGTCTATTTTACTATCAAAATGCTGGAAATCATTATTAAACCATATAAAGTGTTCTCCCACACAATTTTCATCTATTGAATATGAATCGCAATTGGGCCAATGCCCAGCTTCTGTTATTGTGTGTGTACCAAATATTTTGTAACTGGTAACAATTAATTGGGCAAATATTGTTATGGGATGACGTGTTATACTCGTAATCAGCTATGTTGTGTCAGATGTGCACCGTATGTGTATAAATGTGTATGACGTAGTTAGGTGTTAATTCCTCAACAGTCTACGATGGAAAAGCTTATGTAGACACATATTGTAGGATTATAGCCGTATGTCCTTAGTTTTATTTAATGAACCGTAATTCCCAACAGCTGATGTTGTTTTGTAGTTGTTTACTATATTTCTTAATTATTGTGGTATTGCATTTTTTTGTCCTGAAATATTAGATAAGGGGACAGACATTGAAACATTTCTAAATACCAGACATGTATGTATTAAATTACCTTGCTAGCAGGATGCCTTCAAACTGTGTTAAACCCTGGGGTCTATTTGCTGACTGTATAGTATTAAACCATTCTGTAAGGCCAATGATTGGGAGCACACCTCCAATAGCAGGATTTAATTGAAGGAAAATACTATACAAGGCTTGAAATTGAAAAAAAAGCCACCATTTAAAGAGCTGGATATATATATCTGTCAGGTTTTGTCTGTAACTACCATAAAAGTGTGAACACATTGTTATTATTAGTTTATAGATCCTGTTCAGACAATGTCTGAAAATGGTAACTTAACCTCTGGATTGAATCGACTTTGGTGTGTCAGTGTTGTGTATACGTGTGTGTGTGTGTGTGTGTGTGTGTGTGTGTGTGTGCGTGTGTGTGTGGGTGGGTGTGTGTGTGTGTGTGTGGGGGGGGTGTGTGTGGGTGGGGGTGGTGTGGGGTGGTGGTGTGTGTGTGTGGGGTGTGTGGGTGGGGGGTGTGTGTGTGTGGGGGGGGGTGTGGGGTGTGTGGGGGGGTGTGTGTGTGTGTGTGTCCACCTGAACCTTTGACATCCCTGACTGATCACATTCAAACTTCTCATATGCATCATATATCTTAAGAGTATATCTTAGGAGATGTCTGCACATTTATTTGTTTGACGATCTGATTCAAGATTACTGAATATAATTATTTTTATACTTAAATTTCATCAAAATTGAGCATTTCTGCCATTTTGTTGTTTACTATTGAAAATTGGGAATGTTATGTGTTTTGAAGGCTGAAGTAGTATATCAATTCAGAAAAAACAAAAAAACAAACTCTGCTAGTCCAGTTGAGCTTCAAATTATGACCTGGGACAAGTATTCATGACCTGGTCATTCCACACCCTGTATATATGGGTGATTATTTTGTACAGTGAGACCACATGATAGTTTTGACTTCTTTACGTTTCTAATAGAGTACCAGTAGATAAAGCTGCAGTTTTGCTCTAGTTTCACTTCCTTTTAAAATTCACAATTCTGTGTGATCTCTTAACTATACCAATTTTATATGTTCGTTGTGATAAAATTCACATTTATGTGATTTAAAGTTGTAGGAGCTATTCAAAATAAGAGAAATCGGGTTAGTCATTGTTGAATGCACTGAGCCTCAATGTGTACAAGGTTGCAGGATGGAATGATTTATGTACCATGAATGAAGGTTGAAAGACACGCCCCCCAAAAAATCATTGGTTGTATAAAATGAAATACAAACCCAGCTACAAACTGATGTTATTTTAAACAGTAATATCAGATTACAGGATGATATTAATACAAGATATTAATAATATCAGATATTCAGCTGTTGGGGTCAAGGCTAAGTGTGTATCTGCAGGTGACAACTGGTTATTGAACTTCACTCGTATGTTAATTGTATGGGAGGACAATGTAGATATGATCTCATTCTGTCCTGCCTTCAGTCAGGTGTATTTATAGACAAATTGAATAAAATTAATCTTTCCAGAATTATCAAAGAACTATTTGCTCCTCACTGAGAAAATATTGTAAAAATAAAGCTTGGGGATCAACCATTTTAAGTCGTGAGGCTAGCTGGAAGAGTTTGACAAGTGCAATTTTTACTTTTCTTTATTGTGGGGGGTGGGTCTAGCTGTAAAAAAAAAATTGTGCTTATTCAATATTATTTGTGTTGTGTTTAGCTGTTAAAATCTAGTATCACAACTTAGAAATACAGGAGTCGTCGTGCATGCTGAGCCTTAAATAAAATATAGAATCATTAGACACTTCTTCATGAATACAGAATCCAAATAGAAGATGACCTGTACTTTATGTCTGAATATGTCAGCTTGTAAACTGTCACCATAATGAAATTGTGTGTGAAAATTGTATTTGTACATGTATAAGTCTCTATAAACACAGAAAAGGTCCTGATCTTAGTGGTGGCGCAATTGTGTTTTTTGTCAAACTTAACATTTATCAACTCAAATGTCACTGGCCTTGGAGGTTTGCTTTGTTGGGTATCGTTCCATATTAATAAAACTTTGTCTATTAATTCATAACTCTGTCAGAAAGGTATTATTGGTGAAAAATTGGAATATATTATTATAGATTATATGCTAAGTTTCAGATGGTTCTGCTGTATTGTCATTACTATGGAGACTATGTATAGGTTTTGTTTCACCCCATATGGTTGTAAAACCGCTAAGTCAGATACTGTGTATTAATGTGCGAATGTATTAGATTGTGTGAATACACAGTGGCAAAATATTTGTTTATGTAATAGCTAGTCCAATTGTTTTGAAATTTTCAAATAATCATATACTGTTTTCACCTTAACCTGTCAGACAGAACTATTGGTGATTGTCCGTCGTCATTCTGTATCCCGTGTCAACGTCTTCCTTCTTTTTGAAAACTATTATATCTATTGCTTTTATACTTGGTACATATGTTCCTTGGGTTGCCCTCTATATTTTGTGATGATATCTTCAATTCTTTATTTTTTATGAATATTTTTGTAATGCATGTGGCTTGCTGAAAGCCTCTACGGATGACCAAAAGTGTGATCTCACAATTTGAACACCTGTCGCATATTGATTTTGAACTTGAATTTTTCTCTCTTTTTTTAATAGTACAATATCAAAATTCCTATCTTTCAAAGACGGATATGGTTTTGAGATATTTTTACTTCATTGAAATGACCATCATCAAATGTAACACATAACTAAGCATGGAAATACACTAAAAATAGTTTAACTGTTCCAGCTAAATTCTATCTGCCTATCTGGGACAGGTAGACAAGTCCTAATTTTTACTCCTGAAAAAATCAAAAGATCGTTTGTTGTATGAAAACAGCGCTGAATACAAACTTATCCTCACATCGTTTTTTATCTTCCACAACACACCCTTGCATAAAACATTTTATTTATTTTTTCAAGCTTATTTCATTCACAGAAATTAATCACAATGTTGAAAGGCTAGACATAATAATATAATACAATATGTCATGTCAGAATGCCATCTTCATCATCTATTAGCTTATTAACAGGCCTTAAAAGATCTACCTCCTTAAATTTGTTCTTTAGTCAACATGCAAAAACTACAAAAAAATCTGATTTGAAATATGGTAAAAATATATTTGTCTATAGTATTATTAAGTCTTACCCAGTTATAGTGACATTTCCTGTTTTTGATTTTCTGTATTGTGCATGCCATATGGTGTAGTCATTGTAAAAACCAGGGTTCTAATGCTAGTGCTGTAGGCTAGATAACATCATTGACCCACATGTACTTACAGTCCAGGGTTTATAGACCATCTGTAAACACACAATCTGATGGGGAAAAAACAGTAATCTACCATCGTAGTTATCTTTTCATCTCTAAATTGTATACATTTTTATATAAAGATGTTCCAATTTAAAATGAAAAAGAATTGGCACGTATGAATTAAGTATTCCGTAGTGATTTTACTGTGCAACTTAGTTATCATAATTTATTCAATATAATGACGCAGTAGAGAAAAAAAAAGATGAACAATGCCTAAAACTTGTTTTTTTGAACTTGAAATAACATGTTTAAAATGTTATTCTCTTTAAATGTGATATTTTAAGTGTTTAAACAGTACATGTATTTTCAACATGTCTGGAAACCTGATTGTAAAGGTTGATTTGATGATTCATCCATTTTAAAAAAGGTACATTAAAAAAAACAATTGTGAATTGTGTTCACAAAACACATTAAGTGTAATTAATATGTTGATATGTCTAATTACAGTGCTTTGCTGCTGGTGCTATGAGAAAATGTTTCAGAATGTAAGTATAACATTTTCTGCATGTTTGTATAATTTATTATGAGTTTCAACAAAATGAGGTCACGTTTTTTAAGTCAATGTAGGTCTCATGAATATTTGAGTGTTCTGATATTTTGCTTCAGCAGTGTGTGAGACATTAATGACACATTCATGATGTTCTATTAATTTTCTTGTGTACTATCATGTTTATTTAAAAATTATGGCTGACAGTTGACACTCAAATACAACAATTTAAATGATTTTTATTTTTTGGTGGTGTTTGTACAGCTAAAATTTTTTTTTTCTTCTTTTTTTTTCTCTTCCCACTGTCTGTCACACGTCTCCATAAATATATGGTATCCTATTTGTTTTGTTGATCAGTTTAGTTAATCCAGGGTACTGACATATTTATGCATTCAATAACTTTCAAATCTAGAAACAGATTGAGACAAATGCAGCAATACAATTTTGCAGAACTGGTGTTAACTGGATTGAACATATTAAAGTCCCTTGATCCATAATTCTATAATGTGTCATAAAACGTTTTTTTTCTCCACTTTTCAAATCATATTGACTGTCAGCTTTTATGTTGAAAACTGATTGTTCGTGCCAGGTAGTAAATAAAATGGGCATATAAATGTATAGGTAGTGTAGTCAAGAATAAAAAAAATTTATTATGTTGTCTAAGTGCAGTTTTATGAATAGTGATTATAAATCCTGATTTCCTACAACAATGGTAGTTTTTGCATCTGCACCTGAATTGAAAGCATTGTGGCAGCCTTATGTATACATTCCACTTCCAGGGTTCAAACTGATTTTTAGATTCTTAGCAATTTGTTTAAAAAGCTGATAGTTCTAATAATTGTTGGTCTGGAAACTGTTACTTGAAGGAAATGCATAGTCTGATAGACTACCAAATATGCTGTGCATTAGTTTACATAAATTACAGAGCTGTTTCTGTTGTCAACATTAGTGATATTTTACTGATTCAGTATCCAACAATTGCAATTTTGGGTTTATAAGTTCTTTAGTTTTTGCTCTTTTAATAGAGCAAATACAGTAAGATAATCTATTCATTTTTTTTTTTACGTGGAGTCATTTTTGTATTTGCAATGATAGCCACAGACCAGAATTGGGAGTCTGTGTGCCTTTAATGCATTGCGTAAATAATGTTCGATATCATATACATATTGGTCATTTTGAACCTTTCTGGAAATTTAGGAATTCTGATTTTTGTAGTAGCATTGATCATTATGTTGGCTACATGTACCTATTTCATGAATAAAAAAAGTTAGCTGTCACATGACTTTTTTTTCCGCCGCCATCTTGGATTTTCGCCATTTTGGGGGGCATTTATTTCTCAGGAGTGCTTTAACCGTTCAACTTGATATTTTTGTGTTTAGTATGTATGGGCAAAGCTTATTTCAAGAAATAATAAAATAATTTTGATCAGTCATTTGTCTGCCCTAACATCTTAGATTTATGAAAGAAAGTTTAGAGCATTTCTTTCTCATGAATGCATTTATAATTTATGACCAAAGCATCTTCTGAGAAACAATGACATGTACATCAGTGGGTACTCATTAAGGTTGACTTTCAACTTTCAAACTTGGACATGACAAAGCTGCTCTGCATCTTTAATTATGTACATGTGTTTGTACAGACTTGTCACATAACCCAACAAAATTTACTTAAAAAATTAAAAGTGAGAATTTATGTTTACTTATTCCATTTCATGTGTAGCATCCGAATTGCCAGAATTCTGTGTTTAATGTGCAATATTTTGATAATAAAACTGTTTCCTTATCATGCATACAGGAAAAAGTTATCTAACTTTGCAAAGAATAATAACTGGAAGAATGCATCTAACTATGTTGCTAAACACTACATTGAGTATGTGGACAGAGATGTTTATTTTGAAGACGTCAAGCTACAAATGGATGCCAAGCTCTGGGGAGAGGAATATAATAGACATAATCCACCAAAGAAGGTAATAATGATGATGAACTTGATTCCAACTGTTTTTCCACGGGTTCCAATTAATTCTGACGGTTTCTCTAAAAAAGTGTGCATATTTGTTGTGTACATTTGTAAATAAATATATATATTGTAATAAATAAATGAGGCAGCTTGTTTCATCAAACAATACATTATTCCCTCTCCCATTTTAAAGTAATAAGCTTTCAAACATTTACTTTCTTGTGAGCCAAAATGAACATTCTGAAAATGTTCACAGTTGATGTCCCTGGTTGGCTGGTTCCCGCCTCAAGTGTCATGGCGTACCAAGCCACAAGAGGCCGGTAACTAGTACTGGTTCTGGCATTCTGATCGGTACATCACTTTCTCGTTGCTTGTTCCATTTCCCTTAGTTACCTGGCGTCAGCGCTTACGCTCGTGGCCGTTCAGGGGTTTCCTTTTGCTTTTGAAAGTTGGGCGAATAAAAAGAATTGTTTCTTTTGTTATAAATTTGCACAGAACATATCAAATCTGTAAATCTAAGCAGGCAGTATGTATGAGCATGGCTTTATTGTAGCATTACAGACACGTTTACGCAAAACGGAACTTGGAATGTTTTCAAATTACGTCACCCAGTCGCGTTCCTTCCGGCCGGAAAACCGGCCCAAATGGAACAATTTGGCGATTACTAGTTACCTGCGTCCTACCTACCATTCGCAAAGGACGCCGGGAACCAGCGAAATGTCCCTGGTTGCTAATGCACTGAACCTTTTTTTATGCACAGACTTTTGCTACTTGTGAAACTGACTTATGCATATTACCCAGTATTTTTACATGAAAACGTTAAATTCATATTATCCAACATTGGTTTCCCTTTTCTCTGTAGGTTGATATTTTTCAGATGAGTGTTTTAGAACTCTCGAATCGTCCCGACAAGCCACTGTACCATCTTGAGCACTTGATAGAAGGGAAGTATACCAAGTATAATTCCAACTCTGGATTTGTGGGAGATGACACGATTCGTTGTACCCCGCAGGTAGGTAATCAGTTATTCAGTGAGCACCAATTCAACATTTAGAACAAAATTACATAAACAAAAACAAAAGATATTTTATAATGAGTATCAATCTGCATTCTCATAATACTGCAACCAAACATTTACAATTTATTTATTAAAGTATAAAGCTCATCAAAAACAAATAATATATCGGTGGTGAAATCAGTGACAGTGACTATTCTGCCTCTTGCACTTGGTTCATT